AAACAAACAAACAAAAACAATGAAAGGACAACCAGGGCAATTTCCCAGACCCAGAGAGGAGAAAACTCTGGTGGGCTACTACCAGGCAAGGAACTCATGTGGTAGGTGGGCAAGGGATGAAACTGTGGGATTCCCTGCCCTAGAAGGAGTTTGTATAGACCTAGGTGTTGTCTGCCTTGGTCACCCAATACAGGAATCTCTCATGGAGACCAACAAACATCTGAAATCAAGGTCTTTCTGGCTCAGAGGAAGCTAAGGGCAAACAGGCATGAGAGTTCTCACTTAGCCCAACTCTGGCAAGCACCGGCTCTGCAAGTCTGGAGCTAGGCTCACCTGAATTCAGCACCCAGGGTTGGTGCAGATAGTCCCCAACTCTTAATGATGTGGCTCACAACTTTGTGGCTCTGACAGCCTGTAGAGCTGGACCTTCACTGGGGTTGGACCAGGTGTGGGAGCTGGCCAGGCCTCTGGTCACTATGGGAATGTGGGAAACAAGAAAAATGTTCTCACCCTTTTTGCTGCAAATCACTAGTATACATCTGTGCTGCCAGTAAATCCGCCATCTACTTCCATAGCCACCAGCAAAATATCAAATTGGCCTCACTGCACTGCTTCTGACTGTTTGACACAGTTTACCTGTCTATATCCCTTTTTTTTTAAACCAAGTTTTTCAGCTTCTTCTCCTAATAGGTGCTAGTCTGAGGCTGACAAAGACTGACTCTGCAGGTCTGGGCTTGGGTCATCTAAATTCAGGCTCTGGGGTATGTGCAAATAACACCTAAGTCACAGTGATGTGACTCATAACTATGGTTCACCACTGTTTGACTTCAGCCACCCAGAGAAAAGGACCTTCACTGACGGTGGATAAGGATGGGAATGTTTCTGGTCACTAGGGGAATGTAGTGAACAAGACAAAGTTCAGCCTTTCTTATCACTAATCATCAGTATGCCTCAGTGCTGCCAAACCCCTGTCTACTTTCAAAACTATTCACAAAAGTACAATGTTGCCATGCTGCATCTGGCTGGCCAACACTGTTCACCCATGTATTCCTTTTTTTGCCATGTCTATTCAGTTTCTTCTCATGGTAATATCACAATTAGTCATGATAACAATTACTATTCAATAATAAGAATCTTATCCCCATCTCTTTTCACCAGACCTGTCTAGACAAGATGACAAGTATCTAGTGAGGATTCTACCTTTCCCCACATAGTCTGAAACTAAATTCCCTCCAGAAAACTTGTAAGCCAATTACTTCACGCTGTTATAAACCACCACCATTTTAGGTATCCACTGTCTTAAGTTTCCCATCCCTATCAACCCTGTATACAGAGGGATAGGACTGATACTTGATGTGAAGACTCCTTCCCTCTCAGTTGGTAATTTTGAGCTACTATATCCATAAGTATGGGCCAAGTTCATCAAATTGTTGCAATTTACATTTGTTTCCTTTATCTGAAATTTTATTTTTTAATCTTCCTCTAGTAGCATCTATGGACTTTAATTTTCCATGAACTTTGTAGTTTAACATTTTTGTCTTTGATCTAGTTCAAGTTAGTTTTTATTTTAAGATATATAAGTGAGGTATGAATCCTGTTTCATTTTTCTGCAAATGGATATCTAGTTTTGCCAGCACCCTTCATTAAAGACACATTTTTTTTTCAACATGTAACACATTTAAGTCCTTTGTTAGAAATTGGCCGTCCATAAGTGGGTAGATTTCTCTCTGGATTCTCAATTCTGTTTCACTGGCCTACATGTCTTTTGTTGTACCAGTACCAGGGTATTTTGAGTACCATGAATGTATTGTTGATTCTGAGGTCAAGAAGTGTGAGTTCTCCTACTTTATTGTTCTTCAGTAATGCTTTTAGCTTTCTAGGACCTCTTCCCTTTCCATATATAGGTAGATATCAGTTTTTCCATTTATTTTTAGAAGGTGTTTTTGAAATTTGAATTAGGATTAGATTATATCGATGATCACTTTGGGTAGTGATTAATAGTTTTACAATGTTTAGTCTTCATATTCCTGAATATGTTATTCAATTTACATAGGTCTATTTCAGTTTCTTGCTGTAGTGTTTTGTAGTTTTTCTGTGTATAAGTGCTTTATATCCCTTATTATTCCTAGGTTACTTTTTTGTCGGGGGATTTGTTGTTGTTGTTTTTCTCCTTTTGGGAGCTATTTCAAATTTTATTATCTTCCTGGTTTTCTTCTCAGAGGTCTCTGAAAATGTTCAGGATGTTCCAACTGATTTATTATATGTTGACCTCATATTCTGCCACTTTGCTGAAGCCATCTATTAGTTCCATTAACTTTCTTGTAGAGTCTCTGGGATTTTCAATGTATAAGATCATGACATCTGTGAATAGGGATAGTTTACTTATTCATTTCCAATCTGGATGCCCTTTATTTCACTTAGTTATCTTATTGCTTTACTAGGACATTTAGTATAATGTTGAATAAAAGTAATGATAAAAGGGCCTCCTTGTCTAGGTCTTATTTTCTAGGGGAATATTTTCAGTCTCTCTCCATTGAGCATAATGTTGGCTGTTGATTTTGTGTATTTTGGCTTAATTATATTGAGGATTTTCTTTTCTATTCCTATTTTTTTCTGAGCATTTTATCAGGAAAAGGTGTTAGATTTTGTCAAATGCCTCTTTTTTATTAGTTGAGATGATCATGTAGTTGTAGTTCTTTTCTTTCTTTTTTATTTTTTAAATTAATGTGGTGAATTATGGTGATTGATTCTATAATGCTGAGGCATCTTTGTATCCTGATAATGAATCCCTTTTGATCATGATTTTTGGTATGTTGCTAAACTCTGTTGGATAAAACTTTGCTGAGAATATGTGTGTCTGTAGTCATGATGGACAAGGATATCTGGTAATATAGTGGTTACGAATCAGGCTGTGAACTGCAAGGTCAGCAGTTTGAAACTACCAGCTGTTCTGCGGGAGAAAGATGAGGCTTTCTGCTCCCGTAAAGATTTGCAGCCTCGGAAACCCTGTACAGGGTCGCTATGAGTCAGAACCAACTCCACAGCACATAACAACAACAACAACAAGTCATGATGGATATTGGTTTATAATTTTCTTGTTTAGTTGTTGTTTTGATATCAGGGTTGTATGTCATGTTTTGGATGCTATATTGTTATCTAGCCATATCTCTTAGAGTACTAATTATTATTATTTATTTTGATGAAACAGACAAGAGTTGCCTATATCTTTTGAAATCTCATTTATGTATGATTGATATTTAAAGGGTTTTTAGATTATTGTTGTCGTAAAATGCCATCGGGTTGATTCTGACTCATAGCAACCATGTTTTCCAAGGAACAGCTGGTGAGTTTGAACTGCCAACCTTGCAACTCAGACTGACCTTACAGTCCAGCACATTATCCTGCAGCGCCACATTATCCTAAGATTAGAAAACATAAATTTACATTTTGATAATAACAATTGGCAAATTTATTATAAATTTTCTGTTTCACTGTAAACACATACCAAACTAGCTACCAATTGAAGATATTAAAAAAAAAAAAAAAAAAAAAAAAACAAGACAGAGAAAAAAAAACGTACACATTGCCAGCATAAGCTGAAGAAAAGTCAGAATATAAATCTTTTTTGCCTATCTACAGTGCATAGTGGCTTATACATAAATACATCTATAATAACTAGACATTGAATGTTTGATTAACTCAATGGAAATCCAGTCTGTACTTCAACAGAGGAAAAGAATAGGATAAGTGAGTTAAATCAAATGAAACTGCTGCAAATAGTCTATGGTGAGAAGAGATTGTTCTTTCAAGAAAACAGGAATTAATATGAATAGAGGTAATTTTCTAGGATAGTTATATAATGCCACATTGACTATCAATACAGAATTGAGATTGAAGATCCCTAAGAGTTTTTTTTTTATTAAGTTAAGAAGATATAGAGGTGAATCATTTATCAATTTATAGCCAAAGTGAGCAATGTCCTTCTGTATCAAATGAATTCAAAGAAACACAGTCTTAGTGCGTGGTGATGGGACTTATATGTAATCCTAAATTATTGTTCGTGATAAATGCGATTGAATAGATTTCAACTCATACAGATCCTGTATTGTGTTTCTGAGGTTGTAAATCTTTGCAGGATTGAATGCCTCATCTTTCTCCAGAGGAGCTGCTAATGAACTCACACCACCAACCTTGTAGTTAGCAGTTCAGTGTTTATTGCACAGAGCCACTGTGTTAGAAAAGAATGCTGAAAGAAACACAAAACACTTAAATGAGATGAGCAAAGAATAAGCATGATTACCAGGTCATCAAATTCTTAAGCTTCTAGTTATTTTAAGCTTCTATGTACTTGAGTTGGTGTTTAAATTTCACCATATTTTGATGACCAAAATGGCATGTAGACAGCTTTAAGTTTTATAAATAGGATAGCCATCATAATTACCTCAACATTAAGAAATGCAAGATAGAAACATAGTTCTTGATAGAATTTCCATACTTGAAAAAAAAAAGAAACAATTTTTCTGGATCTCTAAGACTTGAGATTTTTTCAGTTTAATGTTTCTGCATATACTACTTGCCACTAGCTATACAGACAAATCCTGAATAGGTGTTTCAAATCCAACTGTAAATACTAACCATAATATTTCACTTTAACAGAAGATTAGGCAGTAAACATAGTGAAATATTGAGGATATGAGGGCAAGTTTTAAATTTACTTTAATCCAACATATTTATTTTATAAGTTGATTTACCTACATTGCCACAGAGCACTTATAAACTTATTGTTGTTGTTAAGTGCCGTTGAGTTGATTCCGATCCATATCGACCCTGTGTAAGGTTTCCAAGGAACAGCTGGTGAGCTTGAACCACCGACCTTGCAGTTCAAATTACTTTGCAGTCTGACGCATTAGCCCATAGCACCACACCAGGACTTACTAGGAGATAAATTCAAGTTTATACAAATTTGAAAAACTATTCTCACTCTCTTAACCCCTTATCAGATTAGATACTCAGCATCCCAAAGAAATGAATGTCAGCATATCTGAGGAGCATTTCCATTCTGAAAATCATGCAGAGCAAACTCTACGTAAAATGGAGAACTACTTGAAAGAGAAAAAACTATGCGATGTGCTACTGATTGCAGGACACCTCCGAATACCAGCCCATCGGTAAGTATACTTTGTAACCAGAATATTTGGTGTATATAACAAGTATTAATGATAGAGGTCAGCATTTTATTCTTTGATTAGCAGCAATAATTATAGCATGGATTACAATTAGGAACACTGGGGGGTGGATTTTTTTTCCCTATATTAAAATATAATAGCATTTCTGATCTAATTCAATGTTCAATATTTAGAAGACCTAAGCTTTGGAGAGTTTGGTAAAGAAAAAATAGTGTGGAAAAACCCTCTAAAAGAAACTCAGTTTACTTCATTGATTTTCCTAACTAAACTGCACTTTTACATACTGTGAATGTTTTATTCAGAAAACTGCCTCACCAGTCTTACAGACATACTGAATGCATTTCATACTTTTCAGTGATATTATGAATGCAGTTAAGTTCCTCTGAAATATTTTTTCCAGGTTGGTTCTCAGTGCAGTGTCTGATTATTTTGCTGCAATGTTTACTCATGATGTACTTGAAGCCAAACAAAAAGAGATCAAGATGGAAGGAGTGGATCCAAATGCACTTAATTCATTGGTGCAATATGCTTACACTGGTAAGCATTGAATATGCCTTAACTGATTAAATCCTCACAATATGATTAATTTCACTTTACAGTTTAGGAAACTGAAATATAATCCAGTTAAGCAGCTTTTTAAGGTACTAAGATGCATAATCAAGAATTAAACCTATTAGTATAATAGAGCATTGGACAAATAACATATGAGGTGAAACAATTTGACCATAAGAGCAGAAAGCTATTTTAACAGTGTGGGCACATTCTTGATAGAAAAAAAAAAAAAATGAAGTGTTAATAGGATGAATCGGGCTGCTAATCTCAAGGTGTCAGCAGTTTGAAACTACCAGCTGCTTTGCAGGAGAAAGATGAGGTTTTCTGTTCCCATAAAGATTTACAGCCTTGGAAACCTGTGCAGGGTCACTTACTCCACGGTACTTAACAATAACAACAACAATTCTACATAAGACTTAGTTTCTTCAATATCATTCTTTGGAATAACAAAGTCATATTTTATGACCTTGAAATCACAAGATGTGATTCAAACTATAAAATAAAGGTGACAGGATGTATTTGGGAGTAAAAACAAATTTTGAATTTTTCCCTCAGGAACATTACACCCACTGCTCACTTATCAACATATTTAGGTTTCAAAGCCCAAATTGGTATATGGTAATTGTCATTATGCATAATTGGAGGATGACCACATCAGATCACAATATGAAGAATGAATACATTGTTACTTAACTGTCAAATAACATTATCAAATGACTGCCAAATTACATCTTTATCTTTGCAGGAACATAAAGCCTCATTTTTCTCCCATTAAGCAGCTGCTGGGCTCAAACTGCTGACTTTGTGGTTAGTAGTCCAATACTTATCCTACAGAGCCACCTCCTGTTAGCTGCATGTTCAGTGGTTCAAACCCACCAGCTACTCCTTGGAAACGCTATATAGGGCCACTGTGAGTCAGAATGAACTCCATGACACTTAACAACAACAACATAGACAAAAACTTACCTCCTGGAGTTTTCTACTGCAGTGGTCTTCAGATATATTTGTTTGTATTGTATTTTAAATAATTTCATAAAACCCTGTGTTTAGTTACATTTCCATTAATGTTAAATTTTTTAATGTAACTTTAAATATTCATAAAAGTTATACTTTTCAACATTATCAACAAAAGATAATGGTATCTTTTGAAGTGCACTGTTGAATTTCCATTTTCAATATATACAATGGATTATAAACACTGTAACAATTTTATATTAGGCATGATCATTTAAAACTCTATGAACATGATAGCTCCTCAAAAGTTAAAACATGCACTTAGTTCATAATCCAGGAATTCCATTTCTAGGTATGTACTCAATACAATTGAAAGTATATGTCCACAAAAAAATGTATATATATGTATTTCTCACAGCATCGGTCATATGTCCTCTAAGTGTAACTGATTAATGGGTTCACAAAATCTGATAAATCCATATGGTGGGATATCATGATATAGTAGCCATACGTAGAAATAAAGTACTTACACATTTTAGAATATTTATGAAATTGGACAACATTATGCTAAATAAGAGAGTCACAAAATGCAACTAATTGCATGTTTTCATTTATATGAAACACCCAGAATACGTATATTGTTAATATTAGAAGATCATTAGTCATTTTGTATGTGTGGGGTGCTTAGGGGAAATACAGAGGAACTGCTAATAGGCAGTACATTTCTATTTGGGGTAATGAAAATATTCTGTAATTTAAGAAAAACGTACAATTTGAACAATTTTGTGAATTTACTAGGAAAACACTGAATACAAGTAAAATGTGTATAGTTTGTGAATTATATCTGTGAAAAGGGAGATAAAGAGAATAGGAGGAGAGGAATTGATATCAGTGTGTATACTTAGACATGGATTAATATGCACAATTTTTTAAAAAATGTTTTCTTGTGAATTATGTGATAGTTTACATGGGAGAACATTAGTTTTACATTCATCCTATCCTATATCATTTCATTGCCATGGTTACAATTCCCTCCATGCATCATCAACCAACCAAAGGGTGTACCCTGCAAGCCTGGCCCCCGGTCGTCAGCACACAGCCCCTCTCCCTCTCTGGGTCCAAAGTCCCCAGCTGCTCCATTTCTTCACATCATCGTCTCTGCCTCCATCTCTGGCATCACTGCTTCTCTGAGTAGGGTCCCACTCTCCACTCTTCTCCCTTGATGGTCCCAGGGACCTCCACTCCTAGACTGCAAAGTAAATCACTCCTCTCCTTGCTACAAAATGTCTGCCTTTACATTCCCAAGCCTCACAATCAGTTCTGATAACAATTATTCACCATTGTATCACAAGAGACTTATCTGTATTCCCTTTCATCAGCCCCACCTAGACAGATTGGATACTACTCAGGGGAGATATTCTACCTTCCTCTGAGTGCTCTAGATCTAGGTTCCCTATTGAAACTTGTAAGCCAGTCACTTTTTGCCTTTGTATTCCCCCCGCTTTGGGTAGCCAATGTCCAAGTTGCCCATCCCTGTCTGCTCTGTGTATGGAGGGGGTGGAAATGATCCTTGCTATAAAAACTTGCTCCCTTCTTTAAGCTACTGCATCCATAGGTGTAGATCAAGTTCATCAAATTGTACCAGCTTCCTATGTTTTTCCTCTTCTTTCTTCTTCTGGTTGAGCTCTGATCATTCAGTCATTGAAGCCAGGTCAAGTGGGTATTATCTGCACGTGTGGGTGTTCTTGTGCATGTGCCCTTTCTTCTTATCAGCTGGACACTTCACTCTCCATTCTAGTCCTCTGTGGCTATGTCACTGACTCTGGGCCCAAGAGTCCCCAGGTCTTGCCACACTGCTGGCCAACCAGGTCCCCACCCAGGTTCACAGGAGTCTATTGAGCATTCTAGGGCTTAGCTCACAGCTTCATTGCTGTTTTTCCTTCACTTCCCCTAATCAGTGATGAACGTGGTTACCAACCAGAGCGTGCATTCCCATTGAGTCTTAGTATTAGAAAGGGGTTTGCTCTGAGGGGACCTGACCACTTGCCTTGATGTCTCCTGGGTGAACAACTTGCTTGTTCTTGTAGTAATCAATCAGTCTGCCTATGTTGTTTTGTGTTTTTCCTATCAGTCTTTCTTTCAAGCCACTCCAGGCTGGTCTGCCCATCCTTTCAAGTGGAAATTTCCTACCTCTGAAGAGTCTGGATGTTGTTCAAGATTCCACCTATGGTCTTATGTAATGCAGAGGCTCCTCAGGAAGCCTCCTTCATTGGAGACGTTGTAGCCCCATTTTAGGTGTTCCAATCAGTTATAGGCAGAAGACGTACTTACAAGCTTTCTATGGTGATATTTCTGACTATTTCTTTCTCTCCCCCTCCAGTGTCTATTTTATAATGGTATGCAAGGGAAACCAAGATTCAAAAGGCAGCCAATCATCTTAACATTATTTCCCCCCTTTTACCAATTCCAGCCATGTCTCAATGTCTGTATCCCAGAGCCCTGTTGTTCCAAGGTTGTGCATACATCATTATTTACCTCTGTCCCACTTAGCCCATGCAAACCTGCCTAATTGTTCTCTCGTCCACTTTGTTCTTCCATTCCTCTCCCCTTTCTTATATATTGCCCCCCTCCCCAGCACTCAAACTATCCTGTATCTATTCCCTGCCCTGTGCTCCACCTTCTTTTATATTGCCCCCTCCCTAGCACCCAAACTATCCTGTGTCTATTCCCTGCTCTGTGCTCCAACTTCCCCTCCTTCCCTCCACAACATCCCAGCAACCAGCAAAGAATTCGCCACCCCACCCCACCCTTTAGTAAGGGTTCCTTTTTTTAAGTCTTTTACATTAGTGGTCCTATGCAGCATTTCTCTTTTTGTAACGCATTAATTTCACTCAACATAATGTCCTCAAGGTTCATCCATGTTTATGCACAAATATTTATTTCAAATTTTCCCCTATGCCAAGCCCCACAACATAGCATAGTAAGATTCTGTATCAGTAATGAGCCTGTCTTTTCTTCCAAAAATCTGCACTAAGAAACCCTATACTGGGTAGCTATGAGTTGAAACTGACTAGATGGCACTTAACAAGATTCTGTGTAGATGGTGGTATTACTTTATATTATAAGATAAATGAAAGATAATTGTGGAAAGGTTCGTTGAGGAAAAAAAAAAGTCTTATGACACCAGTTTATGAATACATGTTTTAGAAAGTTTTAAGTGTGAATTGAGAGATAGTTTACATGGGAGAACACTGGTTTTACACTTATCGTTTCATTGCAATGAGTACAATATCTTCCATGCATCATCTTTCAATAGTATTTACTTATATTCCCTCTGTTTTGTTTTGATATTTTGTGGGAGAGGTACACAAAAACACTCAGGAGTATATAATCATTTAAACAACCAAAGGGCACACACTGCAGGTCTGCCTCCTTGCTGCAAGCACACAACCTTTCTCTTTTCGTGAGTCTAGAGTCCTCAGCTGCTCTATAATTCCATGTACTTATCTCTGATATTGCTGCTTCTCTGGATAGGGTCCCACATTCCGCTCCTGCTCTTCTCTCTTGATGGTACTAGGGTCCTCTGTTCCTTGACTGTAAGATTAATTACTCCCCCCCCACCCCCGTTTTGTTACAGAACTTCTACCTTTACAGTTGTGACAGTTGCAATTAGTCATGATAACAATTATTCACTACTTGAATCAAGAATCTTATCCCCATCTCCTTTCACCATACTTGTCTAGACAAGATGAAAACTAGTCAAGTGAGGAATCTACCTTCCCTTGCACACTCTGAAACTAAACTCCTCTTGAAAACTTGTAAGCCAATCACTTCGTGCCGTTATAGCCCCACTCCCTTTTTATGTAGCTATTGTCTAAGTTGCCCATCCCTATCAACCCTGTATACAGAGCGGATAGGATGGATACTTGATCTGAAAACTCCTTCCCTTTCAGTAGGTATTTTGAGCTACTCCATAAGTATGTAGAACACGGTCAGCATTTCTCAAGCTGGGGGAACTGAAGAAAAAATTC